TTTTTCTCATGTATATAAGATGCTTTTTTGAAGACCAACAATCATCTGTAAAACTGACAAGTAAAAATAAATATATGAATGCCGAAAAGTTTGTTTTGTAGAGAAGATTTGAATATCACAAAAGATTGTAGTTAATTTATTTACTTCAGACGTACGCTTAGCATGGAAACAGATGACACATAAAACAACCTTTTTTTTCATAGATTTTATTCATTTTAAAGATATATCAATATTGGTATTTTTTTTGATTTATCTAAATGCTCTGTTTCTTTCATATTTATATGTGAATATTTTTTCGTTATCGAAAATGGATCGAAAGTATCAACATATTACTTATTGCAATGGTCCTAAAGGGAAAAGTAAGAAACTATATAAAACGTAGTGTTTTTCTTCTAAAAAAAACTTCTTTTAAGGATCAAAAAACAACAGAAAGGTAATATAAATAGTCTATTATCTATAATAATTATTATGATATCTCAATTAGATTGTTCGATATTTGCTTTGAAGATCTTCCAAATGAAATTTTTTACGAGATATGAAAATATCTAGATAAATGTGAAATATATTCCATTTTCCATTTATGAGGGAAGATGTTCTACAATATCAAATCATTTCTCTTCGTCTATCAGATTCCATTATTTTTCATCGATTCACGGTGTACGCAACTGGAACTTTCGTATTATTACTTGAAAGATTCGTTTCTTATGCCTTGTCTCTCTCATCTTTCTGTTCATGTCATCGAAAAAAATTAATTAAATCGTCGTCTAATCTCAAAACTGATTTCTTGGTTGCCATTTTTGAAATATTCAAAATTCTCATACCATAGGAATCTTCATCAACGATGTATCACTAGAAATATTCAAACCAGAAATATGTATGGAGAATACGTGGTAGTTCTTTGGTTTTAAGGCAAACATGGAAGGGTGAACTGCCTTGGAATGATTTACCGTCGCGTGGTGAGTGGTATGAAGAAATTTTTTGGAACTTCAAATATATATAGAGTTGATTGAAAATCTTTTTTCTATCGTCATACTAAATCGAGTCGTGGTCCTAATCTGCTTTTTGATTGTATTAAATGTTGTATGTGGATTGTAGATGTACATGTAATCACTCATTTCTCATCCACTCACAAGCTCCGTTTATTCACATATTTACTGACCGATCGAAAATATTTCTATTTTTATATCATTGAACCTTGAACTAACATCTTGCGACGGCGTACAGATGAATTTTCTCGTCCATAGTGTTGCCTGATTCAGTCGTATAGAAAAATGCTTTTCTTTCAGCATAATATTATAAATTTATCATCATAATTGAAAATAATCATTTAGTTGAATAGCTAAAAGTGAAGATGAAAAGGTAAGTTTCGAAAAAAATAAAATACATTCTCTTCTAATAATATGAGCATTTTGTAATCTGTAATTTTCTTTCTTTTAATCATAGATCAGCAACGCATTTTGAAGATCTTTCAAATGAACTTTTACTCAATATTTTCGATTTTCTTGATGGCTATCATATATTTGAAGCTTTTTCTAATCTTAATAACCGCATTCAACATCTTATTACTAGTTCTTATTTGTTTCTCAAATTGAATATTTCATTTATGTCTAAATCAGATTTTAACAAACGTTCGATCAATATTATCCGTCCATATATGAATCAAATTATTTCATTACAATTATCAGAACCATTTTTCATCAAAAATTTCTTTAGAAAATTTCCTATTGACACATCATTCAATCGTCTCGAATCATTGGTACTCAATGATCTTAATGTAGATGATGATGTTTCTATTCTTAATAGTTTAGCTCAATTACCTCGACTCTTCTCTCTCAAAATCTTTTGTTACGACTGTAATGAACTATTTATCATTTTTCAATCAATATTTCTTCTACCTGTTTTACAATATGCCAAAATTTTGTGTTCGAACTTTGGTGCTAGATTTCCGTTTCCCCTAGCTACGAGCGACAATCAACGAAGTATGACTCTTGAGTATCTCGCCTTTGATGGTCCACCTCATTTTTCAAGTATTTACAATCTTCTATCATATACACCTGGACTTCGTCGTTTGTCAGTTGATCAAATCTGGCGTGATAGATACACACCACTAATACAATTTATACTGCCACGCAATCTAACTAGTATTTCTCTGTGTCATTGTCGTTTATCATTTGATGAATTCGCATCATTCATTGCAATCGTTGGTTCTGAACTCAATTTCTTACGCATTTCAATTGTTCATCAAACTGCTCTATCAAATGCTTATCAATGGCAACAATTAATTTTACATCATATGCCACGTCTGCGTACGTTTCTCTTTGATTATCATGGTTCATTAAACAAAGATGCTGACGGAAATAATCGCTGTCGAACATTACTTGATGAATTTTCTTCGCCATTTTGGATCGAACGGCAATGGTTTTTTGCCCATAGCCATTATCATCGGTTTTCTCAAGAAGCATGTTTAGCATTCTATTCAACTCAAATTCGTCGGTATAAGCAGTGAAAGAAAATATATTTATTGTTGTGAACTAATGATTCTTTTCTTTTAGGCAATACTGCTGTCAAATTGATGAAACTTTAGATAATAACATATGTTCGTACCAAGATCCAGTCTTCAATTTATCTTTTGGACCACGGATTAATATGAAAAATCGAAATATTGTTGCCAATTTTCCTTTTCAGTTTCCTCGTGTAACTGAATTAGAACTTACCGAGAATTATGATACGATCAATATTGACTCATTCATTGATAATCTAAGTCATATTTTTATTTTGACAAATATTACTTATTTAGAGATTTCATTCAATAATATATTGTTGAACAATTTTGTTAAACTTCTTAATCGTATGCCTAATATTCAAAAATTGATTCTTTATGTATAATTATCATCTGAAATGGAAGTACCGTCAGATCAACAAATTAATACAGTTGACTTGGTATGCAATAATAATGTGCGAAATGTAGGAATACATGGTGAACTTGCACTTCCCACTGTTCAACTAATCAATAAGCTTTTTCCTCGAATGGAATGTCTTGAAATTTCGGATGGAGAGGATACTCTCATATCACTTGTACGAACTCTGTTGTCAAACAGAATTAATAACAGTCATCTTTTCTCATTGGTGTTTTATGGTGCTGATGATGATGATGATGATGCATTAATCAAACAATTGAAGACAATGATCGATAATGAAAAGTTACTTGATAATTATGATATCGAACATCGACAGTTTCAGCTGTGCTTATGGTGGTAAAAAAATGTATTTTGTTCTTACACTGTCTATAGTTAATTAAGTACTAACTATTTCAAATAAATTGTGGTTCAATTATTTTCGCACAAGAGATATGCAAATCATCTTGAGAGTGAGGGTGAAGTAAAGATTTAGAATGATGGTTCAGAATTATCATTACATTTCTCACATCGAAATATCTGCGACATGTACTATCACTCATCTTCAAGAGTTTCTACGAATTGATATTTTAAAGGTGAACGCAGAGTATTTAATATATGATAAAACACAATGAATATGTTCACACTATCTAGTTTGAACATCATACTCTTCAAATGATGAGCGCTAACAAGATATAAAAATTAGATATTTGAGTGTTTATTTCTCTAAATATGACTGTTATAAAAGGTTTAACCGTTTTTACAATAAGAGAATCAAGATTAATAGCGCCCATATTCCCATATTTTTTAACACGTCTGAAAACCCTTCAAAAACGGCTCTTCTGGCAGTTTACATGGGTTTTTCCAAAACTTTATTTGCTTCGATAGCATATTTACACATGAATCTTACACTCTCATTCTCAATTAATTCAGAAAATAAAATAATGAACATCGAAACACAGCTACAAATTATAGAGTCGCCCTAATAAAAATGAAACTACAAATAAAGATTTATTGAACGAATTTTCTGATTTTGTAGAAGATTTTCGAGAAAAATAATAAAAAGCACTGCATTGCACGGTGGGCAAAATATGGCAACAATTGTATCATATTATTGGATTTTCTTCGTGGTTTCAAACTTTATGATTTAAAGATTTTTTTATGAATATTATGTCGATTAAACAGCCATACAATGAATAATCATGATAAAAGTTTAATTACCTCTATGAAAAACAATGAAAAAAACCAGTCATATCATAAGAAACTTCATTTAATTGACGAACAGCTGTTAATAAATTAATAATTTTCACATCCCATGGATCACTTGAACTTTGAATATTTAATAAATGTAAATAAGAATTATTTTCCTTTTTATTTAATAAATAACTAATAATTGGTTGAGAATCCTTGTCAGATACATTTATATGAAGATATTCTAATCGACAACAAAGTTTTGTTAAGAATTGAAAATCTTCATTAGATTCTATGGAAAATAAATCTTTTTGGTTACAAAATAAACTCTCAATTTTTAACTTGTAATATTTTAATTATAATATCACATGACATAGTTCGTTTATTAAATGTCATTTTAGTTATTTGTGATAAATGAATAGAACTATTTGATAGATTTTGAATAAAATCATCATATAATGGAGTATCTTCGTCAAAGGTAAGTTGAATTACATTTGTAATAGAAACTGATTCAGCACTGACTGTTGTCGATAATAAGGACTTATAGTGATTTCCAATATAAGCATGGCGAACTGAACTAAAATTATTTTTAATTAAACGTGAAGATTTACATTGATTATTAATACAACTTAAATGAAGATCTTTTCTTTTAAATAGGAAATAAAATTTACGGTTTATTAGAGAATATGATATTTACCTATATGATTTTATAGAAGAGAAAAGTCCACGAGTTGAATCTTTGTAGAGACTTAAATTGTTTGATTAACTGTTTATATGTTTCAGGATATTTGAATGGTATTTTATGATGATGTTGCAAGTTAAAAATTCATAAATGAGATATATAATATCTAATTAAATGCTCCTATTTTCGGCCTTTAAGATATTTATCATCCATATTTGTTGAAAGATGTAAACTTAAAGATTTGGAACATATGATAAAACAAGCAAAAAATCTTTAAGATTTACATATGAGTCAATAATCAAATGTTCGATTGAACTAAAATTTGTTTTAGCAGTACGTAAATCTTTACTGCGGATATAACCATCATCAATCATTGATATTTTTTAAATAAAGTTGGATTATTAAACGATAAAATAATTCAAGTCATCATAAATGCGTTGAAAATATAAAGTAAACTTATTTGATAAATTCTTGATTGAAAAAATTCTTGATAAGTTTTATCAAATGATAATTTTGATATGTTTAATAAATCAACTTCAATTAATTTTTTTATATAAATAAATAAATCTTTTATAAGATCGAAAAATATGTAGATAATAAACTATTTTATAAAAAATTTCATTTGAAAGATTTTTAAATCGAGTTATACTGGAATTTGTTGTCATTTTCTTATTTTGAAATACTCACGTAATCAGCAACTTATTCTTTATCAAATGAAAAGACAAAAACAAAGCCTTCTTTTTTTATGTTGCCGAAATATTTGCTCTTTGATCACCAAAGATATTTATATAAGAAATTCAAGATAAACATATGTTTTTGTATGAGACAATAAAGAATTTGATACAGTTTTGAAAATTTCGGAAAAATATCACGTTTCAAATGCCATAAATAATTCCAGTACTTATTTTTGGAGTCAGATTTTGAGTGTGGCTGCGAGTGAAGGTAAGGGTGTGTTTTAGACTACCGTCATAATCCACGCCTACACCCACACCCTTATTTCAATTGTTTTTATTATAGAAACCAAAATATTATTTGATAATGTTCTGCATTTCTGAATCAACAATACTGAAGATTTATTTTAAATTAATAAGAAAATGAGAAAATACAAACTTCAACTTTATTAGAATTTAATTAATATACATTCTATATGAATAGAAAAAAATAACAAGAGGAGAATTTTATCTAATGTCGAGATATAATATGAGAGTAACAATGGATGATATATTAACGACAAAAGTTCTTCTAATTATAATCTATTATACGAATAAAATCGATTGAATTTATGATAAAAAGTGTTCAATAGAATTCATATTAAAATATTAAATCTGAATTTGTTTAAGAAATAATTGTTTAATATAAATTAATAATATTACATTGTGAAGTATTATTAATGATGAAAGTATTTAAAAACAAATATAAAAAATTATTGAAATAGAAGAAATTTTCTTGAATAATTATATTATAAGAGAAGTTTATCCTACTAGAAATTCAATAAAAGTATATGATGTTTATGTGATAATTGTCTTTTATTATCTGAAGTATGTATTCATTGAGTTAAATGACGTATAAATAAAAGAGTTCGAGTATTACATACAGTAGTAATCATAACAGATAAAATCAGAGTAGTAAAAAATTCTTTTTCTATTGAATTAAAATACATATAACTATCGATAAATAAAAAATGTATAAACAAATATTTCAATGAAAAAAATATTTGTTTTCATTAACAACTGTAAATAATCTACTAATAACAATAACACAGCGTAAATATATTAATTGACATGTAATTATATGAAGTAAAAATGTTTCAATACGACAATATAAAAATTTCGATAGATGAAATAATATGATTGACTATAGAATTTATTTGAGATATTAATGTTAATCATCATTGTTTTTTTTATAAAGAAATAAGAATTTAATGAATGAAAAACAGTATGTAACAATGATAATGAATTCTATTCAATATCATTTTCTTTTTAGAAAAAAAGTAAAATTGATAAATATTATTAGTTGTTAGATAATTCTAGATTAAATTGAGTATTTAGATATATTTCATATTTTAGTTATTTTTTCCCAAATTTTTATTTTATAAATTTTGTTTCGAAGAGATCTACTTATCATTGATTAATGTTTTTGATTTTTATACGTTTTCTAGAATTTCTTTTTTTCTTTACAATATATTTTAAATGAACATATAAAATAAAGAATTGAAACAAAAATAAAACTGTTCGAAATTATTTTGAAAAAGAATTTTCTTATTGTTTACATTTAATATTTCTATTGGTTTTAGGAATAGTTTTGATACAAGTTCTAATAAATATTAATCATTTTCTATGTATATTTTGCAATGAATATTAAATTATGGGTTTTTAATGAAAGAAAATTTTATTCTAATCATTCTTTTTTTTCTTTGATGATATATAGTTTATTTTAAATTGGGAATATATCAACTAATCGGTAAAATAACTGAACTGGTCAGTATTGAAAATAGCAGTAGATATTTATGAAATAATCAGTTTATTTGCTGTAAGTAGCAGTAAAAAAAGTATTTTATCAGTAGAAATTTATGAATCAGTACTAATACAGAGAAGGAACACTCAATTATTACACCAATAAAACTGGTTTAGCTTTCAGTGGTCGATCACATTTTCTCTTTTATATGTTTTAAGAAACCTCTAACTTTACTTCAGAACTGAACAAGTCATTTTTTTCCTATTCTTCACGTAACCTTTAATTATATTCATCTGAATGATTCATCAAAAAAGAACGAAGAATAACATAGTTAAGTCATCAAAAATATTATTTTTTTGTATATTCCATTAGTTTACCTATTTTTCTGTGTTAAACAATTTTATTCAATTGATACAGATACTAATGCATAAAATGTGACAGGATAGAGTAATAAATTTTAATTAAATATGTATTTATTATTTGAAATAAAGAAAAAAAAAGGCATATAGTGTCTTTAGAACTGAAATTGTGAAAAAAAGAATTTGAATAAATAAATTTTTTAAAATGAATATTTATCAATAGTAAAATAGTTTATGACATGTTCTTAACATTGATTTAAAAGAACATTTAAAGTATTTTTACTAGTAGTAGTAAGAGCAATATCTATTTTTCCATCCTGATTAAAATCTCCAGTTGTAACAGCATAACCATACAATTGGGTACCAAATGTTTGATATGTTTGAAATTTTCCATTTTGTTTGTTTAAAAAAATATAAACATAATAGTCGTCATAATTTGTAGTAACAATATCAATGAATTTATCATTATTTAAATCAGCTAATGCAACTGATGCTGGAGTTCCATAGCTAACATCATATGTATCCCATCCATTAAAATTTCCATGTCCATCATTAAGTAAAACATTTATTGAGCCTGTAACATAATTAGTATTAACAATATCTATAAAATTATCGTTATTTAAATCAGCAGTGGCTAAACCCCATGGCCCAATGCCTGTAGCAAATACATTTCTATATTTAAACATCCCATTTTTAGAATTAATAAGAACACTAACTGTATTATCACTATAATCAGTAGTAACAAGATCAGGATACAAATCATTATTAAAATCAGCAACAGATACAGCTGTAACATCATTTCCAACTGGATATGTTTTAGAATAACTGAATGATAAATTATAATAATCATATAAAACAATAACAGAAGCGTCATAATCATTAACAACAACAACATCAGTTAGATTATTTTTATTAAAATCGCCAGTATCAATCCAATTTGGATAATTTCCAACGGGATAAGTTCTTGCTGAATTAAAACTTTGATTGCCTTTATTAATTAAAATGGCAAGTTGATTTAAATTACAATCGGTTAAAAGTATATCAGATTTATTATCATGATTCATATCTTTAATAACAACATACGTAATAAATGAAGTTGTGGAAATTAATTTTGCACTTTGGAATTTTCCATTTGCGGAACCATAGTATATGCCAATACTTGAAGAATCTTGATTAACAACAACAATATCAAGAAACGAATCTGCATCGAGATAACCAGTACTTATTGCACGTAACCCACGTTTAGCTGAATAACTTGTAAAATTTGAAAATTTTAATGGATTACATGGAATATCTACAAGAGATCATTTTGACTTTTATAAGAAAAAAATAATTATTAATTTACATGGAGAAGTTGTGCTCGAAATATTTGTTGAAATTGAAATTGATGTTGTACCTAAATAAATATATTGATTTACATCTAACACTATGTTATTATTACCTTCAGTAGAAGTTATTTGCATTTGAGTTGTTTTTGTCGTTCTTTTCAAAACATTTGTTGTTCCTGCAAACATTTTTTTATATTATTCAATCTATAGAGAGATGATTTCAAATAAATCATTATCTCACTAAGGATGATATTTTAGCAAATATAGTACAGTTATCTACTTGTCTTTATCGGGTTAAGTGAAACTACTCTATATGTAACTTTAATCACTTTTCAAACTAACGTTCTATCGATTAGACGTATATATAACACTTCTTTTCTTTCTCTTATTCGCACCAAAGATCATTAAGTACGAAATAAGAGAATATTAAACTTAATTAATTTTATTTGATTAAAAATAAAAAATTAAGGTTTAATAAAATAATAAACATATACAACGTTATTACAATCAACAGCTAAGCAATATGCCGCCAAGAAGAGGCGGATATACAAGAGGTCGTAAAAAACAAGATCGAGGGAGTTCTAGGTCAACTAGATCAACCGACATTACGTCACAAACATTAACAACCGTAAATGAAGAACAACAAACAATAAAAACAAAATCAAATTTTGTAGTGGCACCATTAATAGTAGAAACTGAATCACTTACCAAAGTCAAACTTAACATCATCATTAAAAATTATTTATCGGATGTTAAAATTTCTGATATACAAACAAATCGACCAAATTCATTCATATTATATCCAGAAGATGTGAAATCTTTCAATAGAATAATAAATGATTTATCATCGACAATTCAGTCAAATGAAAATCAACGCGTCGTTGTTTACATCCCGCGTTCTATACAAAGAATACTGGAAAATAACAAAGAAGCTTTTGTCAAGAAGATTGATCTAGAAATAAGTGAAGCTGATATTGAACAAGCTCTCGATAATCAAGGATACAAATTTGAAAAAATTACACGATTAATGAACAAAGAAAATATGCCACTCAAAACAATAAAAATCACTTTTCAAGACTCTTTCAATAGAGATCTATTTGTCAAACTCGGCTTACAAATCGACTCAATGCACTTCAAGGTTGAACCAGCCACTTATAATAATAGACCATGTCAATGCTACAAATGTTTCAGATATGGACATGTTGCGAAATATTGTAAAGCTGAAAACCAAGTCTGTTCGAGATGTGGTACTCTTAATCATAAACATGAAAATTGTCCAAACAATAACCAGCAACCCATATGCTGTAACTGTAAAGGAGGACACGCTGCAACGTCTACAGATTGTCCAAAATATAAAGAATATCAACAGAAAATTCAAAAAACCATTGATCAATACTCATCAACTACAAAACAAATTAGAACAATACAAACATGTCCCAGCTGGAAAAACACAGATGATTTTCCATCTCTTAAAATTATGGACAAAACAGATCAAATATCAATTATTGAAACACTTACAGAAAAAATAATGCTTGCGGTAGAACAAGCAACAGAAAGAATCTTTGAAGCTCTAAATCGGAAGTTCGAAATATTAACCAATCAATTAGGAAACAAATTGAATATTGAAATCGAAGACATATCAATCAGGAAAGAAGATAATAATTCAAAAATTAATAACAATTTGAAAACAACAACAACAATAACAACACAACATCGAATACCACAAGATCGATCAACAGAAGCAATCCAAAATGAGGATATCGATCTATCACCAATACCTGTCAATGGAACCAAACGTAAATATAAATCATCACCAAGCAACTCATCAGACAAATCAACAAATATAGAAAATAATTCTCAAATATAACACAAGGAAATAAATGATCAAAATAATGCACTGTAATATTACCTCTATAAAGAAACACAAAGAAGAATTATTAGCAAGGTTCAGTATATTCGATATTATATCAATCAATGAAACCAATTTAAAACCAGAACAACTGTTTTCACTTCCTGGATACAACATATACAGGAATGACAGAGAAAACAAACAAGGAGGTGGAGTCTTAATAGCAATACGTAATAATATTCAAAGTTTTGAAATCTTCAACAAAACAATCGAAAATAATGAAACAATAGCTGTACAAATAAAAACACCAGGTGAATATCTGCTTATTGCATCAATTTATAGTCCACCAAATATCAAACTACAATCTGAACTATTTGAACAATTATATAATTTGAACAATAATTGTCTCATACTAGGAGATCTGAATGCAGCACTTCAATCTATGGGATCTAAAAAAACAAATACTAAAGGTATTCAACTACAACAATTATTAGAAGAAGGATATCTGCAATGTATAGAAAATGATCTTACGACCTACGCAAGAAACAATTACGAAGAAAAAATTGACTGGATTCTTGCCAGCCAACCAACCATCTTATCCATTAAAAATATTGAAACACATTCATCTTTTGGTTTGAAAGAAGATCATAAACCATTAACTTTCAACTTAAATCTATCGGCTGAATTTAAACCAATATCACCTCGAATACCGTACAATATCAATGCTGCAAATTGGAAACTATATAGAACTAAATTAAATGAATTCTTGAGCAAAATTGATGAAAAACAAACAATTACAACAACACAACAAATTGAAAAATATACAACTGATTTGACAGAAAGCATTATCTTAGCAATGGAGGCAGCAATTCCACCAACAAATAATACAATTAAAAATTATAAAATTTCAAGAGTAACTAAAAAACTCATTGAAAATAAGCATCGAGCATATCGACAATGGAAAAAAACGAACAATGATGCTGATAAAAAAGATTATTATAACAAAAGAGAGTTATTAAACAATTCTCTTCGAAACGATCGCATTGATCGTTTAAATAGTACCATGTCAGCATTACGAGCAAACAAGATGAACTCTTCTCAAGTATGGGCTGCAGTCCGCAAATTCTACAATAAAAGAACGAAGCAGTCATATACAGGTGAACTTAGATATCAAAATATAATTGCCAACACCGATTACGAAAAAGCGAATATGTTTGCATCATACTTCGAAAATGAAGTTTTTTCAGAAAAACCTGATCAATCACCATTTCATGAACAAATCCGAAGACATGTTGAATCATTTAAAACAAAAATTAGATGGAAGAAACAATTAAATAAAAACAAACCACCCCCAATATCTAGCAAAGAAATAAAACAAATACTTAAACAACTCCCGAACAGTTCACCAGGACCAGATAAAATACATAATCGCTGTCTTAAAAATTATACAACATCACTAGTCCAACATCTCGAAAAGATCTTTAACTCAATCATTGATATTGGTCATATACCTGTGGCATGGAAACAAGCCAATATCATCCTTTTACTTAAACCCAAAAAGGACAAAAAGCAGCCATCTAGCTACAGACCAATCAGCCTTTTAAGCTGTTTAGGAAAAATTTTAGAAAAAATTATTAAACAGAGAATGATGAAAGAACTAAATGAAAGGAACATATTACCGATTCATCAAGCTGGCTTTCGCCCTAACAGAAGCACATTATACAACATCACAAGACTCGAGAGATTCGCACACGAACAACTCAATAAACGTGCACATGCTGCAGTTATATTTTTTGATATTAAAGGAGCATTCGACGCCGTATGGTATGAAGGGTTAATTTACAAGCTTTACGATCTGCGTCTTCCAGAATATCTTATAAAATATACTATATCTTTTCTTCACCAACGAACGGCTACAATAGAGTTAGAGAATACAATTTCAAGAATGTTTACCTTGAAAAGCGGGACTCCGCAAGGATCCCCGCTGTCACCTCTGCTCTATATAATATATACTTATGACTCAATAAACAGCATACCTCAGCACACACAGAATGGTCTTTTTGCCGATGATACGGCCCTGTGGTCGGCTTCAAACACCATCACTAATCTCAATTATCGTTTACAAACTTCTGTTAATGAATTTTACAAGTGGTGCCAAAACTGGAAATTGACTATACAACCTACGAAAACGGAAATGTTGTACTTCAGTCCTCACCCAAGAAAGAAATACAAAAATAAAATAAGAATCCAAGTGGAACATATAACCATCAAACCCATTGCACAAGCCAGATATTTAGGAATCATATTTGACCATCAATTAAAATGGCGAAATCACATACACCATTTAGAAACAAAAGTAGCACCACAAATAAGTCTGCTCAGATTTCTATCAAAATTAAACTCAAGCTCAAACAAGAACATAATGATCAACCTATACAAATCCTTAGTAAGATCAATCATAACATACGGATCATCAGTTCTTCTGCGAGCAGACGAAAAAATATGGAACAAGATCCAGATTTTACAAAACAAAGGATTAAGAGCTTCATTGGGACTTCCACAATATACATCTACTGATTACATTCATAATATTACAAATGTTCCTAGAATTAAAAAATACGCAACAACTCTTCTTCAAAAGTCAATTGCTAGAGCTGAAAATTGCAACGATCTCATCTCAAAAGAAAATCTTACACATATCTTAACACATGCTAACATAAGCTAGACTAACTCCCTACATAGGGCATAAGACACTAGTCAGGAGCCCTATCACTCTCCCATTTTTTTTTATCCTTTCTCCTATTTCCAGCTGTTTCATCCTTTTTTTTTTTAATCTCTGTAGATTCATTTATTTACCTAAATAAATAAATCGATGTAACCTAAAAATGTAACTTTAATATTTAAAGAAAATTAATATTACCAATGTCATATTTTATATTGATGGATGAAAATGGTGATTGATAACGACTGAATATAACTGTTGCAATAACGCCAATAATAATTGATATTTGAATTAAAATACAACTCCAAAGAAGAAATCGACATTTTGTTGATAAAATATTTTCTCTTTAAAAAATCTTTTTAAATTGAAATATTAGTTCAATTAAATAGTATTACTTTTTAGGTTGATTTTCTGGAACTGATGGTTCCTGCATTGAAATTTTCTTGAGATAAAAACTACAATTCAACTTCTTCTCACAAGGAACGTTACTTTAAATCTACTTACTTTACACTAATAATAGAAATGATTCTTGTAGTTTTATACTTGTTAGTAAATAAAAGAAAATATCAGTATTACTGGGTACGTTTCTAATATACACACCATAAATATGTCATTGTTTTATTTAAAAAATGGTTTTATTTTTCAAAGAAAAAATGTTTTAAGAAAATAAAAAAAAAATATTCTATTATAAGTAATTAGTGCATGTTTGTTTATTCACTAAAAATGATTGTTTTCAAATAAAATATTTCTATTGTAAAATTTATCATTATTATCTAAAGAATTAACCAAATCTTTTATTCAACGATTGATATATACGAGGATTTGATTGTTTTTATTATTTAATAAAAAAGCCATTCAGATTATTCTACAAAAAAATTTTTTTTCTTTAATTAAAAACAGTAAATTATTGTTCATTTTTTGTCATTTGCTCCATTCACTAACTAATTTTTTTGTGTTGTTCTTTTTGGACGTATTTTGACAATTTAAGTTTGTTAAAAATATTTGAAATATTCAGGCGATAAAGAATACTGATTCAATAGAATTTCTAGCAATGAACATATTTTTAACAAAATAAGATTAACTTAAGAATATTCCTGAATTTATCTTCATTATTTATGTAAAATAGAAAAAAAAATATTTCTCTGAAAATCAAAATTTTATTTATATATTATAAACAGTAGTTTCGAATCGAACAAATGAACATATGAATACAGATTTAGTCGCATTTCTTATCCTCTCTATGTGAACATATTTAATGAACTGATGATAAGTGAGAAGAATACAAAATCTCAATTACATTTAGAAAAAAAAATTCTATTCTTAAATTGAGTACTATTACCTTTGTATAAAGAATGTCAGAGTGAATACTTCTACGGACATGTCCGAAACGCATCATATACCTGAAACGCACGATATCTCTGAAACGCATGATAGAAATACATTTTTAAAATATTTTTTGTTGATTGTTATTCTGATTAGATTTGTATATGTGAGTGTTACCCTGGAGTTACTTTATTAAGTAATGGTAAACAAATTTTTTTTATATTCGTAAAATAAAGATAAAGTAAATCTTTATTCAATGTAACATGTGTGCAAAATGAACAAACGATTTTTGCATAAACCTTTTTATATGCAGTTTTCATCTATTAGCATTATCCCATTTGAAAATGTTGTCGGTGATAAAAACAAGAATTATGATGAATATATCCTGCTCATCCATTTACTTACTATTGAATCGAATTTATCTTTATTTTCTAAAATAGCGATTTTGTTTATATTTATGCTTTATTATAAAGTAATATCTCTATTTATCACAACTAATCAACCTCTACTGTTTCCATTCATACGTGTAAACTTCAAGAGAATATTGATATTTCCAATTCTCTCTCTTCAAAAGTATCTAAATCATAAAGATCTCAAATCACAATATTTTATTTCATAACTACAGATGTCGGATTATTCAACAACTAATCAACATATATTGAAAGAAAGATTCAATATTTTTAGTTCAAATAATAATCAACAAGATTTTCATCTTCGATTTTAAGTAAACAAGAAAATATTAATTATAATAAAGGAACTTAATTTCTAAAAATGACTTTTTTTTCAAGAACGAAGAAAAATATTTCTAAGGAAACAAAAGTTTGAATCATCTTCATAGTGTTGCTGATTCAAAAATAAAGAGAAAATTCATCTCCGCCAATGAGCAAAATTTTCTCTCAGAAAAAAAGATTGACCTGTATTTTTTTGTTTTTTAAGAAACAATTTTTCTAAGCTCTATAAAAGGTCTAACTCAGTTATGTTGTTACATGTCATTTTT